TTTTTTCAGCACGCAAATGAAACATATATTTACGAAAAACTTCACTATACGTCGGCAAGTTAACAGAATGGCCGAACGACGGCAGATATTCTCCAACTAGCCAAATGTCAACCATTTTTAACAAACTGTCGTACTATTCTATATCAGTTCTCTGCTTGTTGTCTTCTTCAAACGCACTACTGATTGATCAAACATCCTCAGATCGCATCCTTTTTTATACTAAAGCATAGGTAGAAAAAGCCAAGGTAGAAAAGTTTACGTAGAAGAAAGTAATTGAGACCGTTGCTCGCCTGTAGGAGAACACTGTTAGTGTGTGTTTTTTAATTAATACCCAAAAGGAAGCCAGATAAACAATATGCTTTATGCGGGTAATTTTTTGGCACCTCTATAGGGTAGGAATCATCAAATGTTTTGAAGTTTGGATTCTTAAAAATTCCAAAACACAACATGATGATATTTTCAGATACATGCGTTTGGTAAAAAGTAATGGTTTTTACATACCTATTTTGATTTTTGGACCACCCTAATGAAGAATAATTGGACCACCCTAGTGAATTATTTCGTCTTAGATCCTAAATGGTGGTTTAATTCGATATATAAGCAGGTTGGAGACAATTGTGAACAGTTTTAGAAGCCGACTCAACAATCTTCTATATTCCATATAGAACTCATGAAAAAAAGTCCCAGAAAGTCGATTTTTGAAAAAAAAAAAATTATCGAGATTGCACTAAATCTCGACGTTTCATGCATTTTTAAGACATTTCACATCAAATTTTTTTTTTGATTTCCGAAATTTCATGTACCCCCCCCCCCCTCCCCTGGGAGATTTTTGAGAGTGAAAAAGTCAAACTTTGAAGCGTTTGCGCCACCCCTAAATCATGTCCACTTGAGCTCAAATTTTGCATAGGGTCATTTTTTGAGGCAATAAACATTTTGTATATGGTTTGTTAGCGAAATTAAAAATTACCATTTTCGCTGGCAGTCTAATATATGTGTTTTATATGTGAATAACTCCCTTACAAAAAGATATCCCGGTAACAATGTTTTGCAAAACACGCGTCTTAATAAGCTTCAAAAGTCTCTTGAAGATAACTTTCATGAATCATTTGAAGTAAAAAAGTTAAAGACAAATGATGGTTTTCAGGGAGCCATGCCCAAGCTACCAAAATTTCTGATAAAAGGCTATTTGTGGCTTAATCAGCTTTGCTAGAGGTAATCTATAGAGTTCTAAACGGCCTCATTTTTAGTCATTATAAGAACTTCTTCTTCTTCTTCTTCTTTCCTTAACGTCGGTCTCTGTTCCGCAATCTAGTGCCAATCTCCGACAGACATCGATTGCCATCCATTGACGACAATCGAATGTGCAGGAAGGCAGCTTCCACATCTGCGTAGGGTATCGCACCCATTCAACACACATGGGCCGGGACCAATGGCTTTACTTCCCTTCCGAAGGAAGACGTGACCAGAGATTTTTATGTCTCAGAAAAATCCCACCGACCTCGGCTGGGATTGAACCCAGACCCATCGGGGTGTTAGAAAGCAGTCACGCTTACCACTACACCTCCGGCGCCGGCTATTATAAGAACTTGAAAGCTCTGGTACCATAATTGAAGAGCATTCTAAGAAACTTCTGGCAATCACACCAAAATCAGAGATGTCCCATTTTTAATTACTCGATTAACAACTAATCTATTATATTTTGTTCGCTGTGCTGTCATTTTTCCACCGATGAGAGTGCAGTACATGTTTGCAACGATCGGTGATCATCCTTTGTTAATGCTTATATCGGCATGATATAACCGATTACAAATATTTTACTTTTCGGTTCGTTAAACGATAAATCGATTATTCGAATGAAAATCGACCATCACTAGATGAATGTGAAACGTCATTTCAAATACATAAATAATGATACAATTTGAAAGGGACCGGGGCTAATAACAAATTACGTCCCCACGGTAACTGAAACAAACACGAGTGTTCACCGGTTGGTCGTATGTCCGGAATTTTCTGATGTTGAAGTACCGAAATGTGAAAATCATACGAGTGACGCTTCCTGAGCTTATCGTCGTTGAAACGATGTCGGGTACGTCCTTTTTCTCGGAGCTGGATTGACGCCTCGATATCTCCGTCCATCTCAAAAAAGCTGTCGTCCGAATCATGAACGTACTTCGGTGAACACCGGTTTTCTGAAACTGAATTATTGCTGGGGATCTTTTCTTACACCACCAATGGAGAAGATTCGACAAAAAGACTGTTGCAAAGTCTCATGCTCGTAACGCGAAAACCGCTAACTGTCCCTTACTTCAACATCGAATCCTGGACACTCTTCACCGGAACTTTCCCCGTACTCGTAAGATTTTATCATTTCCAAAGCAGACATTGTGTAAGAACCCAGAAATAATTTCTTTTACACAGAGAAGATCGTGACAGATCTTATTTTTGACCGTATAAAACAACGAACGCCGACAGCAAACTAAAAGCGTCAAGGCATGCTGGGACTGATATGCGGTTACTTTGTGACATGATAGGCAAAATAAACACATGTCAGTCGCATCGATATTTTTTCTCTACAATAAATTAAATTTTAGAATTATTTCACCTAATAGTATTAAAAACATTACTTCTCATAGTATAACGTAATAACATAATACAACAAACATGCGAGACAGGCTGTGAAACGATTAAAATGATTTCACCTTTCATCGCTTTTTTCTCTGTTTGTTAGTTTTTCATATGGGACTGATGTGCGATTCTAGGCAGTTGAGCTCGTGACAGCGAATTTTCTCTCTCGAATTTGCATTTTTTTTGTGCTCTAGGGACTGGTAGTAAAGTGGGTAAAACTGTATGGGGAAAAAACATACCTTCTAAAGGGATACCGTCTAAAACCAGTGATGCAAAATATCATGACACTCACGTGACACTCGTCTTCGCATCAACCGACTATCGCTGACAGATCGTTTTGTCACGCAGTGAGAGTTAGAGCCATGGCAAACAACAATCACCAGTAATGGTCGCTGCTCACAAGCAAAACGTTACACTCGCTGCTGATGATGAAAAGCAGAACGAAAACAGTGAAGACTTCTACAGTACGATCATGAGAAACAGCGTAACGACAGAAGAAAATGAAAACAATGCCTACGCATTCCAAGTTCGTCTCGGCAGGCGCGACTGTGTGAGTTACAAACAAAGCAGGCAACATGAAACGGAAGCTGTTGGGCTCACTCACCAACACACTCAGATAAGCAAGCAAAGCAGTAACTGCTTCAAAACGAGCACAGATGAGTGTCGGATTGAAGACGATATTGACCAGTTGCTTTTTACTTCTTTCGTCAACTTGATGGATGGTCATGGAGAGAGCTTCGACGACCACATTGATAGGAAAGCGTTACTACCATCAGCTGTTTGGCGATCGTGATTGTGATAGTGTGTCTAGAACTACATTCTCAAACAACGGTACTTTAGAATTATGCAAGCACAACTATTCAAATAGACGTAATTGATTTACACACAATAACTTCATTCATTAATTTATGGGTCTTTTTACAATAATAACTGAGATCATCAGAATAGCACAATAGAAATAAAAACAGATAACTTCTAGTTTTATTGTATCAAGGAAAAAATCTTCTTTTTCAATGAAATTAAAAAAAATATTCAAAGTGTTTTTTATGTTACTTCATACGCGAAGTTAACGATTTTCAGAGTTGGTTGGAAATGCTAACATGAAGCTTTAGTGTGATGATTTATTAGCTAGAGAATGATCTTTAGAAGAATGTAGGTGGATAGTTCCGTTAGAGTACGGCAGTATGAAAATTGAATAGAAGTTGAAAATGAGCGAAGGGCCATTAAAGCGACAGTTTTTCAAGATGACGCACATTTTTGCCTAGCCCGTACGATGTACGCGGGGACTTGAAGTATGTCTCCAAGTCCACAGGCAAAAATGTGCGTCCCTCTTGTTGCTCATAAACTGACTGCGGCTGTGGAATAGTTCTAGCGACGTTTTCATCACTACCTAAAGCCCCACGTCGCGAGAGCATTTCCAGTCGATGGTGTGTTATAATGCAGTTCTTCTTTACCCAACTATTGTGTTGCTCCTCTCGTCATGACCAACGTGATCATCTCAGAGAGAAAGCAGTAGGGTGGTTGTTGCGTGCTGTACCATCATCAGCATTGTTGACGGCTACTCCCGCCTTGAGTTGTTACATTCAAAGTGTTTTTTATGTTACTTCATACGCGAAGTTAACGATTTTCAGAGTTGGTTGGAAATGCTAACATGAAGCTTTAGTGTGATGATTTATTAGCTAGAGAATGATCTTTAGAAGAATGTAGGTGGATAGTTCCGTTAGAGTACGGCAGTATGAAAATTGAATAGAAGTTGAAAATGAGCGAAGGGCCATTAAAGCGACAGTTTTTCAAGATGACGCACATTTTTGCCTAGCCCGTACGATGTACGCGGGGACTTGAAGTATGTCTCCAAGTCCACAGGCAAAAAATTTTGCCTGTGGACTTGGAGACATACTTCAAGTCCCCGCGTACATCGTACGGGCTAGGCAAAAATGTGCGTCATCTTGAAAAACTGTCGCTTTAATGGCCCTTCGCTCATTTTCAACTTCTATTCAATTTTCATACTGCCGTACTCTAACGGAACTATCCACCTACATTCTTCTAAAGATCATTCTCTAGCTAATAAATCATCACACTAAAGCTTCATGTTAGCATTTCCAACCAACTCTAAAAAAAATATACTTTAGAGCTTTACAGCCGACGCACGTATTTTAAATTCCTGACAGAAACCTAATAAGCCATTCTGTATCCAGTTGCGCCATGTTTAGGCAAAGGAGTTCTCATGAGTTATAAATGATGTTCATGAGACAAGAAAAATTCTCATACATTGTTCTTGCATCACGAAAACTCTCAAGTCCGAAAATGGCATCAATTCATAAAACCACACGCTTCCGAACCTCTCTACTAGTAATGCATCCCCTTCGTTTCAGGAGAACACCCAGCGGCCATGCATCACGGCATGTCGACCATCCTGGCCGGTCCGAGCTTAGTGGCGTTCGTGCTGTCATGTCTGCTGCTGTACTACCATCACAGCATCCGGTGGAAGCATCCGCTGACGTAGTAATCTATCTATCTGTGTCTATCTCCACCGTCGGGACATCGAGCGGCCGACAGAAATCTTTTACTCTATCTATCGATCTCTCATTCACTGTCACAGAGGCAAACCAAAAACCACATAAACACACACCCACACACACACTCAACCAAGCGTATATCCATACCAAACCCTCACAGAGATGTCACAAAGAGGTCATTCTTTTGTACAGTCACCACTATTTAATACTACATTATCTAAGAGAATGAGCAGCAGAGCAACTAGTAGGAAATAAAGGCGAGACAGAACGCAGAGAACGGAATTTTTCACATGTTAAGCACTAAAAAAAAATCGTGTCAAAAGCAAGCAGAAGAAGAAAAAAAAATCGATAACAAAAAATCGTCTAGTTCAGAACATTTAGGTTAAATATGTGAAGCAAAGATTTTTTATATAAATGTACATTCCAACCAAAACAAACAAAAGAGTCGAAATGGGGAAGCACGTGTACGAGCGAGAGGGTGTCCGTAATTCGTTTTCCAGTTTTTAATCAGTTGTGAAATCGAATGACTACATTGCTAAACAATAGGTATTTATATGAATAAACAAAGCCGATAGGTTGAATTTATTAATTAAATTTAAATCATCAACACAAAGCGAAAGGCAATGGATGAAACGTGAAAGCGTGGCGAGGTGGGGAAACAATAATAATTGAATGGTGACCGACCGGACTTGACTTTGGTGGGAGCGTGGATGCATCGGGCGACGCGGATCGGCGTGAAAATTGCTTTTAAGCTTGGGATGATAATGTTGTTAGATATGGCATTTTTTTTTTATTAAATTCCATTGTAGATCATTTTCAGTGGATGGGAACGGCATGGGACGACCGGTGAACTCCATTGGGTTTACACTGGTGGTGTATGATTGATTGATGTGTTCCAGAGTGGCGGAAGTAACAGTTTTATTGCAGATAATCTACAATGATTGTTGAATACCTAGCACATTTGAACGATGCTCGTTGAATGGAATCCGTAACTCAAATTCCACAGTTGGGGGTGTTGGGAAATGCATAGTGCCACCGCTGATGGTAATCATTCGGTTGTTGTACAGTGAATGAAAGTTGGTGTGAATGTGAGAAATGATTTCGAATCACAGCTGTGGAAGCTACACAGTAACAGGAACAAAAAAAAATAATTACAACCAACCCGAATAGGTCACAAACGAACAGTGTATATCATATATGCACAATCATTACGTTAAAAGCTTGAAAGGTTTCTGGCTCGTTGGATGAATAATTGGAGATAATTGATTCGATCAAATGTAAAGCATTCGTTTAATTTTCATAGCATTAGTTGGTACAATTATAATCCCTTACATTTTTCGCTTCTAGTGCTAGTTAGCTTGAGGCTATGGATTAGTAACTACGAAATAAAATACGGAATCTGTGGTACAACCAGTCGAATTTATATTCAATTCTTCTGAAAAAAACATAGTTTTTATTAACTCTTTATTTGTTCCAAATTCAAAATAAATTACATATCATTTTAACCTAGGTGCTCCAGTTACTACAGTTACTTATCAGCCTTAATTGTTATGTTATATAACTAAGTGTTTTTACATTGTTCCTGCCTTGGCATTTCAGTATTTTAAACAGGTTTTTTAACCTGCATGTCTGTATAACAATTGACATCTTAAAACTAAAAACTAACACTAAATCTTATCTAAGTATAAAGGGAATTAATCGTAGCAATTGAAGATTGCAACGATTTTGGCCTGGAATTATTAATTATTTTGTTGGACATTTGGTCTAAAGTCTCATCATTCGAAATTCTATGTACCTCGGTAGTTCTGTACCAGAGAGGCAACTTCAAAATCATCTTCAGAAGTTTGTTCTGAATCCTTTGAAGTGCTTTTTTCCTGGTAGTGCAACAACTAGACCATATTGGCACAGCGTAAAGCATGGCCGGTCTAAAAAATTATATTCACTGAACCACTTTATAAAAATTCTTGGAGAAGACGTCTTCCAACCTGCAACTCAAGGCAAGTATGTTCCGCTCCTGAATCACCCATTGCTTCGAGCGCCTCACCACCTCAAGAGCAACAACCGCCTGGTTCGAAATCGAATCTGGGTGTACTACCAAAATGTACGAAGTATTCGGACAAAAATTGATGATCTATTCCTGGCTGCTGCTGATTGCGAGTATGACGTTATCATCTAGATTGAAACCGGACTTGACGATAGCATCAATTCGACTCAGATTTTTGGACCTGGCTACTACGTGTTTCGCTGATGGGAGATAGCGTTCTGAACTTCGAAGACATGAACACTCTGATCACTCAGATTGAAGGTTGCCCTAATTCGCGACCTTTAACGCAATTGACGGAAGATCCTGGGGACTTAGAACCATTAACGTCAGCTCATTTTCTTATTGGTTCATCGCTACAGAGCCTACCAGAATGTGATTTCACTGATATTCCCACGAATCGTTTGAGACAATGGCATTTTGTTCAACAAAAAGCCCAACAGTTTTGGAAAAGATAGAAGAGGGAATATCTTGCTCAACTTCAAGGTAGGATGAAACGTTGGAAACCCGCAGTAAAAATTGAGATAGGAAAACTAGTGGTGATTCAGGATGATAGCCAACCGCCACTGCGATGGAAAATGGCCAGAATTCACCAGCTGCACCCTGGACCGCATGCCGTTGTTAGAGTAGTCACACTCAAGACCAGTAGCGGTTTCTTGAAACGTCCTGTTGAACGATTATGTCTTCTACCATAACCGAATTGTGATGAAGCTGAGTCATGGCTACATGGCTATGGACTATATTTATGCGCTGTGTACATCCCACCCGACCGAAGTCACGATGTTGAAGTTATGGCAGCGCATATGCTTCAGTCAAGGGGCGTCCCTTAGCTCAGTCGGTAAAGGCGCAGCTACAAAGCAAGACCATGCTGGAGGCGGCTGGGTTCGATTCCCGGTCCGGTCTAGGAATTTTTCGGGTTGGAAAATTTCTCGACTTCCCTGGGCATAGAAGTATGATTGTGTGAATCATATCAATGCAAAAATGGTACAGGCATCGAAAGCTCTCAATTAATAACTGTGGAAGTGAATCTAGAACACTAAGTTGAGAGCAAGCAATAAGCTAATATGCGATATGCAATAAGCTTGAAATGTGAAGAAGAAGAAGAAGAAGAAGAAGAAGAAAAAGATATGTTTCAGTCAAAGAGTTGTGCGACAAGGCATCTTGTGATGATAAGATTCTTGTGTGTGGCGATTATAATCAGCCTCGTCTTCAGTGGGGAATCGATGACAACAGGGTCTACCTCACCGAAACATCTTCGCTGACCGCTGCAAGTATTGCTATCGTTGATGGAATGGATTTTGTTAAGCTCAGTCAACACAATACAGTCCGAAATGAACTTGGCCGCACGCTGGATTTGGTATTTTGCAACGGTGAAATTGATTTCAATATCGACGAATCCGCTGTACCGCTTTTACCTATTGATGCTCACCATCCTTCCTTAATTATGTCGCTACCTGCTCCATTTGACTGGCTTGCAACGTGGATGATAGAGCAGGGCTTCTAGACTTCAAGAAAATTGATTAAAGACTGGACTCGGAAAAAATGAGGCACACAAAAAAGAGACACACAAAAATGATCACTAAAAATTCATTTTAAATCGGATACTTCTCAAATTTTCAGGGATTAAATAACTATATATTAGCTATGTTTTGGCATTATTTATCTATTGAATTTCTTCCCCAAGCCGAATGCTCGTACATTTCTCTTAAGACTGCTCATGAGATCTTGGGCGAGGCTTTGCCCATCTTCCTTACACAATTTCTCCCAGTTTTTCTTCAAAGCTTCATGGGTTTTGAATGTTTTTCCGCTTTTCTTCAACTTCTTCTTCATTATCGCCCAAAACTTTTCGATCGGACGAAGTTCTGGTGTATTTGGCGGGTTCACCTCCTTCGGGATCACATTAACGCCCTTCGCTTCGTACCAATCCATTACAGGCTTGGCGTAATGGCACGAAGCGTGATCCGGCCAGAACAGCGTGGGACCACGGTGAGAGCGGAGGAAGGGCAGCAAGCGCTTCTGCAAGCATTCCTCTCGATAAATCTGCCCGTTTATGGTGCCGGTTGTAACGAACGGCTTGCTGTACCGTCCGCACTCGCAGATCGCCTGCCACAACAGGTACTTCTTCGCGAATTTGTCCATCTTTCTCTTCCAGAACTTTTCCGGAACCTCCATGCGGGTCGTACCGACAAAAAACTCGAGGCCGGGGATTTGTTTGGTGTCCGCCTTGATGTATGTCTTGTCGTCCATGACGAGACAGCCTGGCTTGACCAGCCACTCACGGTACAGCTTCCGCGCACGCAATTTGGCCACCGTGTTTTGCTTGTCAGTCCGGTTTGGCGCCTTCCTGACCTTAAAAACACGTAGCCCAGCCCGCTTCATGGTCTGCTGGACGAACCACTTCGACGAATTGATCTTTTTGGCCACGTCTCGGGTGGAAAGGTTCGGGTTATTCTTAAAGTACTGCCTTATCTTCCGCGCCTTCTCTGGGTATTCCGTTTTCGGTTTTCGGCCGCTTCCAGTGCACCGCTCGATGGTCTTCGTCATCTGGGACATCTTCACAACGCGGGACACGGTGGACTGGTGGATTCCAAGCCTTTTGCCGATCCATCTGTGCGACTGACCAGGATTATCGATCACCGCGCCCAAGATTTGCTGGCGTAGCTCTTCTTGTTTCGAATGCATCTTGAAAACTACTTGACAGATATAAACATAACACTCCAAACTAGTATTACAAACTAATTTTTACCCACTTCATTAATTTTTACGATAAAAAGTTACACCCAAAACAAAGTGTCGCATTTTTCCCGTGTCCAGTCTTTATGTCTCATTACTGCAGTATGTTTTTGATCAAGACTGGGCCGATGGGTTTAAATGCTTACTTATTTTACCAATCAGGCTTGTTGTCCTCTGCAGTCCGAAGAATTCGTCTCCACTCTACTCGATTCATGGCCACACTTCGCCAGCCTCGTAGTCTGCGAAGGGTCCGCAGGTCGCCTTCTACTTGGTCGATCCACCTTGCCCGCTGCGCGCCTCTTCTTCTTATTCCTGTTGGATCGCTTTCTAGAACCATTTTCACTGAGTTGTCGTGCCCAGCCCACCGTAGTCGCCCATTTTTTGCAATGTGGACGATGGATGGTTCTCCCAGCAGCTGGTGCAATTCGTGGTTCATTCGCCTCCTCCACGTTCCGTCATCCATCTGCACTCCACCGTAGATGGTACGCAACACTTTCCGTTCGAAAACACCTAGGGAGCGTTGGTCCTCCACGAGCATAGTCCAAGTCTCGTGGCCGTAGAGGACCGGTCTAATCAGCGTTTTGTAGATAGTCAACTTCGTGCGGCGCCAATTTTATTCGACCGGAGCGTTCTCCGGAATCCAAAGTAGGCACGATTCCCTGCCATAACGCGTCTTTAAATTTCTCTGCTGGTATCATTTTCGGCGGTCCCCAGTGAGCCCAAATACACGAACATCACCATCAATCTGAACTCGGGGTGGGAGGCTAACATTGTCTTCCCTAGAAACTCTTCCTTTCATGTATTTTGTCTTTGATGCGTTGATGGCAAGTCCAATCCGCCTAGCTACAGCCTTCAGTCTGATGTACGTTTCCGCCATCATCTCAAAGTTCCGTGCCATGATGTCAATGTTATCGGCGAAGCCAAGAACCTGGATGGACTTCCTGAAGATTGTGCCACTCGTGTCTATCCCAGATCTTCTGATCACACCTTCTAACGCGATGTTGAATTGCAGACACGAAAGTCCATCACCCTGCC